AATTATTTTTTTTTTTAAAGATTTTATTTATTTATTTTTTTCCCCCAAAGCCCCAGTAGATAGTTGTGTGTCATAGCTGCACATCCTTCTAGTTGCTGTATGTGGGACGCAGTCTCAGCATGGCCGGAGAAGCAGCGCGTCGGTGCGAGCCCGGGATCGGAACCCGGGTCGCCAGCAGTGGAGCGCGCTCACTTAACCACCAAGCCACGGGGCCGGCCCAGAAAAATTATTAAATAAAATTGACTCAAGGAAAACCTGAATAGTTTTATACCATTAACAACAAATTGAGTCCTTAGTTAAAATGTTTCCATACAGAAAACAACAGACTCAGGCAGTTTTATAGGTGAGTTCTATAAAATTTTAAAGAAATAGATCATTTCTGTCTAATATTAGTAAGTCTGTTAATGAATTAAACATATAAATAGATTAAAGAGATTTTTAAAACAATATTCTCAGTAGATGCAGAAAAATAATTTTGATACCTATTCAGATTAAAATTTATAACAAGTTAGAAATAGAAAGAGTAAATATTGTGCTCGATGGTAAAGTGTTAGAAGCATGCCTTTTCTGATCAGAAATGAGGCAGGGATGTCCAGAATCACTGTTTCTACTCCTCACTGTTCAGCAGGTCTTAGCTGGTGCAGTATAACAAGAAATAAGAGACACAAGGATTAGAAAGGAGAAACCAAGCTGTCTTTGTTCGGAGATGATAGATAGGGTTATACCTAGAAAACACCAAAAAACTGACAGACAAATTAAGAACTAATAAGCTAGTTAACTGAGTTCTGGAATCAATAAAGAAAAATTGATTGCTTTTCAAACTCTCCGGGAGTTTGGAGAGTAATGGTAAAAAATGGAAAAAATTTCCATTTACCATAGGGTCAAAAAAATATCGCACTAACAATAAAGTAAGAGAAAGTTCTGCAAGAGACGTCTCATGTCCCAGCAGAATGTGGAAACTGAGGCAAAGAGATGGAGCCCAGGCTGGCCGTGCAGAGCTGCTCAATTGTCGAACGTATGTGAACATCAAGTCCAATGGCCTGTGAGGATGTCAGTTCAGGGTATTCCCTGTGGAATTCAGAGATGTAGGCCTCAGGCAACTGGGAAGGACCAGAACCAACAGGAACATCGGACAGAGCTGAGCTTGGGAGGCTGCTTGTTCTGGGCATTAAGGACCCACAGCTACTCCCCATGGTATTATAATCCCCGACGTCCTGATGCCCCTGGTTGCTTTATTCATCCATTGCCCCTTATCTAAGCTGCCCTCAGTGGCCTCCCCAATCCCCGTGAAAGGCCAGTGGTGCCGCTAACTAGGAGCATTCCCAGTTAGAGCAGCAGCAGGAGGCCCCTGCCCAGGTGAGTCTCTGCTCCCTTCGCTTAGCTCTAGCTAGATCGGAGGTCTGCTAACCTTTTCTGTAAAAAAATAAGAAAGTAAATATTTCACACTTTGCAAGCTATGTGGTCTGTGTCGTAACCAGCAACTCCGTCATTATAGCACGAAAGCAGTCAAAGACAATGTGTAAACAATGAGTGTTGCTGTGTTTGAGTAAAACTTTATGGACACAGGGCCGGCCCCCTGGCTTAGCGGTTAAGTCCGCGCGCTCCGCTACTGGCGGCCCAGGTTCGGAGCCCGGGGGCGCACCGACGCACCGCTTGTCCGGCCATGCTGAGGCTGTGTCCCACATACAGCAACTAGAAGGATGTGCAACTATGACATACAACTATCTACTGGGGCTTTGGGAAAAAAAAAAAAAGGAGGAGGATTGGCAATAGATGTTAGCTCAGAGCCGGTCTTCCTCAGCAAAAAGAGGAGGATTAGCATGGATGTTAGCTCAGGGCTGATCTTTCTCACTAAAAAAATAAATAAATAAAACTGTTTGAAAAAAAAAAAATTTACGGACACAAATTCAAATTTCACATACTTTTCACATGCCAAAATATTATCCTTCTTTTGATTTTTTTCAACCATTAAAAAAATGTAAAAACCATTCTTACCCATAGGCCACACAAAAACAAAGACAGGCCTACCAGCTACAGGCAAGTTCGTCCATCCTTGCTTCATCTGGCCGCCCTCCAGCAGCAGAAGGTTAGGCTGGGTCTCTGAGGCCTGATCAGGAATGAAGGGTATCTTGAGAACATCAAGGGTTGCAAGTGCTGCTGGGAATAGGCTTCTGCAGATCCAGGGGGTTTTAAGCTGTCTTTGATAGCCTTCAGGGGCTTCCCTCACCCTAAGTTAAGGTCAGAACTTCTAAGGGCATTTGTGGCCCTCTGTGACCTGACCCCTGCCTGCAGGGCCACTTTCAGCTCCCCCTGCCTCCCTCAGGGGTTCCTGGGCTATGGTCCCTCTGTCAGGACTGTGCCTTTCCATGCTTTTCCCTCTCCTGTGAGTGGACCTGTGCCATTGCCTAGCTAGCCACAGCCCTAAGCCTGCCCCCTTCCCCAGGCTGAGCTGGGAGTCTCGGATGCTTCTCCCACATTGCTATGATTCACATCCAGCCTGCTGCAGCCTCCAGTGGCCTAACAGCTCTCTGTCCTGTTTGTGCATCTCTGCATCCCCAGGTGAGGCTCACAGCGGGGGCTTAGTGAGTGTCAGTGAGTGGGAGAAGTCGTCCTGGAAGGCTTCCAGGAGAGAAAGTGGAATTTCTGTGCTGGGGCAAGATTTGAGACTTTCCCATTAAGAAACCCCTGAGGGCCAGGGCTGGCCCAGTTGCATAGCCGTTAAGTTCGTGCGCTCCACTTGGGTGGCCTAGGGTTCCTCAGTTCAGATCCTGGGCGCGGACCTAAGCACTGCTTGTCAAGCCATGCTGAGGCAGCGTCCCACCTAGAGCAACTAGAAAGATGTGCAACTATGACATGCAACTGTCTACTGGGGCTTTGGGGAGAAAAAGGGAACAAAGGAGGCAGATTGGCAACAGATGTAAGCTCAGGGCCAATCTTCCCCCCACACCCCCAAAAAAAGACTCTAAAGAAAAAACAAACCCCTGAGGAGTCTCTGGTCCCAGCATTGATCCACAGGAGTGATTCCTGCTCTGCTAAGGACTTGGGTCCTAGGAGGGGAGACAGCATCCCCACTCCATTTCTGGAGCAGGGAGCAAGGGAGTTAGTGGAGCAAAGGCTCTGAGTTGATGGACCCTGGGGTAGTCACTGGAGCCTTCCTTTCCCAGTTCACAGAACGTGCAGACTCACTTTCACCTCTTCACAGGACTGTGGGATGTTGTGAATGCTCTTTGAGCAGGGAGCAGATTTTTAATTGGCTAGGCCCCTTCTGCCCAGAGGGAAGAGAGAGGGTGTGTTGAGAGATGATGCTTCTGGTTTGAGATTTCCTTTGGGAACAGAACATCCTGAGACCTTCCTGGCAGCAGCACCCATGCCCTTTCCCACACTCACTGACCCCTCCCAGCCTCAGGTTTCTCAAAGATCACAACGAAGGGGAGTAAAAGGGTAAGGAGAGATGAAATTGAGGTGGTGGTGATGAAGTCTGGAGTGTGGGGCAAGAAAGAGGAAAGCAAGGGTCCTTTGTTCTTTGCAATTCAGCACATGAAGGAAGAAAATATGAAGGAAGGGAGGCTGAACACCAGGGCCGTGACGGTGACGAGGCCTGCGGGTGGGGGCGGGAATCCCTCCGCAGCATTCCAGGGGCAGGCAGAGTGGGCCAGGAGGGAGTTGATGGACATCTACAAGGTCAGAGCAGAGAGCGGCCCTTCTCTCGTGGAGGGGCTGTAGATCGGGTATGCTTCCGCACGATGAGGCCTTGGAAAGGCAAGGACAGCTTGCCAGCTGGGGGACACGCAAAAAGGGCAGAGCCAGGAGAGGCATGGAGTCCCGCAGCTCGGTGGGCAGGCGCACGGCCTGGGGGCCCCGGTGCCACAGCTGAAGGGGAACAACTTGGTTCTGGCCGCCCTCTGGCCAGCGTCTTCCTGCGGTCTCCAAGAGCCTCTGCCACCCTGCAGGGATCCCTGGAGACCCTGCCCTCCCCAAGTCTAGGCAGCTGCAGAAGGGAAGAGAGCGAAAAAAACGAAACAATTCTGAGAAACAGCTAGATGTGCTTGTGCAGGGAAGACGCAAGTCTCTGCGTTCCACACGAGTGGGCGGCTGCAGAGGCTGGGGAGGGTCCCTCCGGTAGCGGCCCCGTTCCCGGTCTCGGCTTGCTGAAGGCGGCGCCCGCAGAGCCGCCCCAACAGCCAGTGTGCTGTGTGATTGACGGGGAGAGGAGGGGTCGAGCAACCATTCCCTCTACGCTCCATCCCCGCCACGAGCCCGTCCCGGGTAGCTAAGCCTGGTGGGTGGGGAAGAGGGTCCCGCCTTCCGACTTGACCTAACAGTAAAAGGAATTGAGGTACCCTTTACCTCCCCGGGAACCAGGGCAGAACGGTCGCGGGGCGGAGCCGCAGCACACGCCGCAGCGGGCGGGGCGGAGCCTCGAGGGAACGGGCGGGGAGGAGGCGGGGCCTCCGAGGCGGGCCTGGAAACTGCTGGAAGTAATCGCAGTACCGCCGTCGTCGCTCCTTCCGCCGCGCGCGGGCAAAGAGTCCCCCGCCAGCCTAGGCCGGCGCCCCTCCCCCAGCCAGAGCCACACCTCGTAGCGAAACGCCGGTCTTTTCCCCTGTTCCCGAGAGGGCCGGGACCCCGGGGCTGCCGAAAGCTGGGCCTCGATTTCCGCACCGTCCCCGGAGAAAATCCCTCCCCCTTATCGGGATGTAGGAATGCGTAGGGCAGATTCTAGGAGAGAGATCGAGCCTGGGAACGGAGGTCGGAGTGGTTGGCCGCCTCCACCCCTGTTGTTAGGTGTCCCTCGAAGGCGGGACTCTTGGGTGTCCTTGCCCCACAGATTTTTAGGGAGGTCAGTGGGACGCTGGACCCTAGATCCACTGCTTATGTCACATGAGCATTCTCAATCTCTAGCTCAGGTGGGGTCATGCCTTGGAAGCGCTGAGACGCGTACGCTCTACATGCACACCAAGGACAGCTGCTCTCGCCTTTCACCGCCCCCACCGCTACTTTGGACCATGACGTCAAGGTAGGCGGGCGGCGGCAGGTGCGGGGCTGACAGGCATCCTCCTTTAGAGCGGAGGGATCCGGGGGCGGGCAGCTGGGCTGTGCTTCGCCTTATATAGAGCGACTGGGGGCACACAGCCGCTCTCTTGAGTCACCCCCGCGCAGCCCCATTGTGGCGTGTGAGCCGGCCACAGTCTGCCCACCTTGCTCTGAGGTCTTTGCCATCCTTCACCGTTAAGGTAAGGCCGCGGTTTTCTCCTTCCGGCGTTTCTGTCTTGAGCCCTCTTTCGAGTTGCTTTCGTGCCCCCGTCCTTTCCAAAGGCCTAATTTTCTTCACTGGGGCGGCCTTTAGGATACCACTCCTCCTGATTTCTCTCGGAGGTCGGTGGGAGGGAGCCCTCGAGGTTGGCATGTTTTTCTCCTATGCTTGGGTGGCAGGCCTTCTCTCAGGCGGCGACTATCTACGGGCGAGATGGGCCTCGGCGTGGGGCTGGGTAGTGGGCAGCTGCACGTGGTGGCCGCGCCAGCCCGGGACGCTGCCATGTTTGCTCCTCCACTTCCGGACGCGACTACGGGGCGCCGGAGGGTCCGCAAGGGTCGTGGGTGTGCGCGCTCGGCGTGACTCAGCTCGGCCTGGTGCTGGCCTGGTTTTGCCATCTCTTGTATGAGACGCGTTTTTCAAGTCTAGTCGGTTCCTTTATGTGAGGGTCCGCGACGAGGAACGCTTTCGATCTCTTGTGGCCCGTCGTGCTTTCTCCTTCCAGATCTTTCTTGCAGTCCTGGTGGAGGAGGAGGGGAGGGGGCAGGCTCTGGGAGATTCATGGGTTCCTTGCTCCCCCGCCCGTCTCCGAGAGCTGAGATTGTTCTGGAAGCTTCTGGAGCCCGGCGCCCCGCCCTGGTGCTCGGATGCTGGGGCGAAGGGAGGCTGCGCGGCGGCGCCCCCTCCTCGTGTGTCCCCGGCCGACGCATGTCCGGCAGTGACGAGGGTCGGCCTGGTGGACCACGGCCACCATCTTAGTTGTGTTTGGTTTGGCACTCTACTTTGGTCACATGTGTTGAGGTGTCGCGATGGAGCTTTTGCTTTATCGGTTCTTTTGTCTTAATAGCACCCTGGGCGGGTATCCCACTCATCTTAGGGGTTATCCTCCTCTAGTGTGTGAGGCTGCAATGCCACTTTCCCTCGACGTAGGAGATAATCTAGTGGGAGAGCAGTTTCAAATCATTGCCGTTTTAAAAGTAGTAACGTTGGGTTTTTTCTGCCATGTCAAAAAAGGTAATAGAATTGTAGTTAGTGATTTCCACATTGAAAGGTGCTTGTGGATTATCTGGGACTCTCTCGCGTTCAAGATAATCTGCATTAGGGGTAGTCTTACATTTCTAACAAAGCTCCTAGGTGATGCTGAGGCTTCTGGTCCATGGACCACTTAGAGTAGTTTGGATCCAAGATACTTTCCAAAAGACCTGACCTCATATTTTGTTGAACATGTTGGTTTTTCTTTTCTCCCAATTGGTTTCCCCGCTGAGGGTGCAGCCTGAAATCTTTTGAAGGAAAGGGTCTTCAGTCTCTTGAGAATGGATACCAGGCAGCTCAAAGCAGTTTGAACTAAATCTCTTCGTCTTCATTGTGACTGGGGTGAACTTGAGGAGTCTTAAATTTGAGATCACGGTGTTCTTTAGTAATCCTTGACCATTCTTATTTTAGATGCCTGAGGAAGTGCACCATGGAGAGGAGGAGGTGGAGACTTTCGCCTTTCAGGCGGAAATTGCGCAGCTCATGTCTCTCATCATCAATACCTTCTATTCAAACAAGGAAATTTTCCTTCGGGAGTTGATCAGTAATGCGTCTGATGTGAGTGCTCAGAGCGTTGTCTTGGGTGTTGTTTTTTTTTTTTAGCACTCCAGAAAAGGGAAGAGGGGGTGGTTTGGTATTTTGTAGAGCCTGCTATTGAAGGGGATAAATCTGCTGCAGTTACAAAAGGGTTTGCCTTGTTCCACTTCGATAGAGAAGATATTGTAACTGTAACTGGTTCTTAAATCTCAAGGGATAATCAGAATTGAGGCTATTTGGGAGTAAAAATGGAAAAAGTTTTCTTTTGGATGAAGGGAAGGGCTTTAGGAAAGCAGAATTGTCAAGTTGCAATTTATGTTTTCAGGCCTTGGACAAGATTCGCTATGAGAGCCTGACAGACCCTTCCAAGTTGGACAGTGGTAAAGAGTTGAAAATTGACATCATCCCCAACCCCCAGGAACGCACCCTGACACTGGTGGACACAGGCATTGGTATGACCAAAGCTGATCTCATAAATAATTTGGGAACCATTGCCAAGTCTGGTACTAAAGCATTTATGGAGGCTCTTCAGGTATGTGATATTTCAGCTAGGCAGGCACAATTCCTAATTATCAGTGTTCTTTAGCTTGCTATTTCTTCAAAATTTGTGTTTAACTTTTTAACTTTGGCAGGCTGGTGCAGACATCTCCATGATTGGACAATTTGGTGTTGGTTTTTATTCTGCTTACCTGGTGGCAGAGAAAGTGGTTGTGATCACAAAGCACAATGATGATGAGCAGTATGCCTGGGAGTCTTCTGCTGGGGGTTCCTTTACTGTGCGTGCTGACCATGGTAAGTAGGCTATCCTGTTGAGATATCTGGGTTAGAGTTCTGGGGAAGCCTGTAATAGAGATTTTGAGCATCCTATCTATAAAGCAGTTATCTTTTGGTATAGTTCTGGGTTTAGTTTCATCTTTACTCCACTGTGATTGACTTTCTAGGTGAGCCCATTGGCCGGGGTACCAAAGTGATTCTCCACCTTAAAGAAGACCAGACAGAGTACTTAGAGGAGAGGCGGGTCAAAGAAGTGGTGAAGAAGCACTCACAGTTCATAGGTTATCCCATCACCCTTTATGTGAGTATGGGCTGGTAACCCTCACATGGATGATGTCTGCTGCTCTGGAAAATTGCATGGTCCTGATTTTTGTGGTTCTCCTAGTATTCTGTATTTTGAAACTATTGTCTTTGGTACTTTCAGTTGGAGAAAGAACGAGAGAAAGAAATCAGTGATGACGAGGCAGAGGAAGAAAAAGGTGAGAAAGAAGAGGAAGATAAAGATGAGGAGGAAAAGCCCAAGATCGAAGATGTGGGCTCAGATGAGGAGGATGATAGTAGTAAGGATAAGAAAAAGAAAACAAAGAAGATTAAGGAGAAATATATTGATCAGGAAGAACTGAACAAGACTAAGCCCATTTGGACCAGAAACCCTGATGACATCACCCAGGAGGAATATGGAGAGTTCTACAAGAGTCTTACCAATGACTGGGAAGACCACTTGGCAGTCAAGGTAAGAATGTTGGGTCAATAGGAGGAGCAGGTAGAAGCGTGTTGCTAGTAGTAGACAAATGGAACTTATCCAACTGTTTGGTAGCTGGGAACTGAGAATGCCATGGAGCCGCGTGAGTTTACTTAATGATGACTCTTCCATGATGGAGAAATGATATCCCAGTAATCTCACTTGGTTTGCATGGCAGCCTTACACACCCGAGGTACTTTTTTTTTTTTTCTTTTTTGTGAGGAAGGTTAGCCTTGAGCTAACGTGTTGCCAATCCTCCTTTTTTTGCTGAGCAAGATGGGCCTTGGGGTAACATCTGTGCTCATCTTTCTCTACTTTATATAGGATGCCACCACAGCATGGCTTGACAAGCGGTGTGTTGGTGCGTGCCCGGGATCCAAACCCACGAACCCCAGGCCACCGAAGTGGAGCTCATGCACTTAACCACTATGCCACCGGGCCAGCCTCACACCCAGGGTTCTGACTTGACTTGTCTCATTGACCCAGGGATTATACACAGCTTGTACCATTCTAGATTCATTTAATTCATTAGGGCTTAATTTTCTCAACAGCTGCCCTATAGTCTCTATCCCTGGTGCTTAGGGCAGATCTTCGTTCCAGACAGTTTGATAACTGGGTGTTGAGACTGAAGCCACTCTTATCTTGAAATATCTTACTGGCTTATGTTGAATTTCTTTCAGCACTTTTCTGTAGAAGGTCAGTTGGAATTCAGGGCATTACTATTCATTCCCCGTCGGGCTCCTTTTGACCTCTTTGAGAACAAGAAGAAGAAGAACAACATCAAACTCTATGTGCGCCGTGTGTTCATCATGGACAGCTGTGATGAGTTGATACCAGAGTATCTCAGTGAGTATCCTTTTGCTGTAATGTAGTTAGTTGGGCAAAGTCCTGTGAGGCCTTCGGTATTCTCAAGGGGGCTGAAGTCTTTATCTTTGGTCAAGGATCCTCTCCATAGCAAGTGAAGGTTCAGTGAGAAAATGGGTTCTTCTGTTGAATCTGGATGACCCTGTCTCCTTTTTTGTAACTGAGCTTTCTTCCCTGGTTGATTGTAGACTTCATTCGTGGTGTGGTTGACTCTGAAGACCTGCCCCTGAACATCTCCCGAGAAATGCTCCAGCAGAGCAAAATCTTGAAGGTCATTCGCAAAAACATTGTTAAGAAGTGCCTTGAGCTCTTCTCTGAGTTGGCGGAAGACAAGGAGAACTACAAGAAATTCTATGAGGCATTCTCTAAAAACCTAAAGGTAAGGAGGCAGCAAATGCTTACTTTCTCAATTATGGTTTTGTGTTTTTTTTTTTTTTTTTTTTTTACTTGTTCATAGAGGGTAAGAAATTTCAAGTAAGATTCGTTTTTTTCTTGCTACGTTTAAAGCTTGGAATCCATGAGGACTCGACTAATCGGCGACGCCTTTCTGAGCTGCTGCGCTATCACACCTCCCAGTCTGGAGATGAGATGACTTCTCTTTCAGAATATGTCTCTCGCATGAAGGACACCCAGAAGTCCATCTATTACATCACTGGTGCGTTGGAGCCTGGGTCTGATCAGAAGCCTCTCAGAGGCAGAGGGAGGAGGGGAGAATATTCAGGGAGGGAGGACCTGGGAACTGGCAATGTGAGGTGTTCCTGGTCCTTGAGTCACATTCAATGACCCTACAGGTGAGAGCAAAGAGCAGGTTGCCAACTCTGCTTTTGTGGAGCGAGTACGGAAGCGGGGCTTCGAGGTGGTATACATGACAGAGCCTATTGACGAGTACTGCGTGCAGCAGCTCAAGGAGTTTGATGGGAAGAGCCTGGTCTCAGTTACCAAGGAGGGCCTGGAGCTGCCTGAGGATGAGGAAGAGAAGAAGAAAATGGAGGAGAGCAAGGCCAAGTTTGAGAACCTCTGCAAACTCATGAAAGAAATCTTGGATAAGAAGGTTGAGAAGGTAAGGAATCCTGGGACTAGGATCTATTGTGTAATAAATGCCTTCCAGGCTGCTTCTCTCAGAGTCTTGTATGGCTACATAATTAGTGGTTTTAGGCAGCTTGACTTGTTGAGAGCCATCTTACCTCTTGCTCTTTTAACCAGGCAGGTTTGCTATTTGTATAGAATTTGGCAAAGATTAGGCGTTGCTTCTGAGTTTCTTCTGAGACTAGAACTTAAGATACCATCGTTTTTGCCTTGAAGTGGTAATCTGATTTAATATGAACCTAAGGTGTTTGTGACTTTCCATAGGTGACAATCTCCAATAGGCTTGTGTCTTCACCCTGCTGCATTGTGACCAGCACGTATGGCTGGACAGCCAACATGGAGCGGATCATGAAAGCCCAGGCACTTCGGGACAACTCGACAATGGGCTACATGATGGCCAAAAAGCACCTGGAGATCAACCCCGACCACCCCATTGTGGAGACGCTGCGACAGAAGGCAGAGGCAGACAAGAATGACAAGGCTGTCAAGGACCTGGTGGTGCTGCTATTTGAAACTGCACTGCTCTCTTCTGGCTTCTCACTTGAGGATCCCCAGACCCACTCCAATCGCATCTACCGCATGATCAAACTAGGCCTAGGTGAGTACCCTTGTTTACCCAACTGGCAAAGAGTTGGTGAACTGGTCTGGTGGGTCACATCTATGGCATTCTTTTCCCCTTTAGGTATTGATGAAGATGAAGTAACAGCAGAGGAACCCAGTGCTGCTGTCCCTGATGAGATCCCTCCCCTTGAGGGTGATGAGGATGCCTCTCGCATGGAAGAAGTAGATTAGGCGTTTCTACTTGCAGACGTTGTGTGCTCTGTATAGTGTCCCTATGGCTCCCCCAGCGGCGCCAAGTGGCCCTGGCCCACCTGGTTCCCTCTGCTGATGTCTAGTGGTTTTTTTTTTTCCTCTCCTGTCTTTCTGTCTAAGGCAGGATACAAGGGCCCTAACCCTTCCCACATTTGACATCAGGTTTGGATGTTGTGTATTGTGGTGGGTTTTATTTTGTTCTGGAATTAAAGTATGCAAAATAAAGAAGATGCAGTTTTATACAGTTCTGCTCTCCCTTGTAAAGTGGATATAATGCTGCCTTTTGAGTTCCCTTAGCTTCTCACAGAGTACATCAAAGGCTAAGGTCACTGATAACCACTTCTAGTCACACCACATTATCAGTCCCCTTCCTAAAGCACGTATTTAAGCCAACCAAAACACAGGACCCAAGCCCATTGCAGCAATTTAATAAAATAAAATTATAAGAGCAAAAAGTTACATTTCTGAAGTACCAAAACCTGCAATTGGCTCATGGAGCAGAGCCTGGGGGTCCAGGAGCATAGGGGGTGGTGCTGCTGGGCAGCGGTTCTCCCATCCCCTCCCCCAGACAGCACTGTCTCATCACTCTCCTGGGAAAGCAGCATTTTGGAGCCTACAACACTTGTGCTTTTCTCACCAGAGTAAGAAATGCAGGTCTCGGAGTCGAAAGGGTGGCTATTCAAGGCAGGGGGCAAAAATAGGTGAGGTGTTGGTGGTGGAGCCAACAGGGCCAGACTTCAGGAGAGTAGAGCGGCAGAGGGGCTTTGGAAGGTGCCTCTGCCTCCTAGACATTCCTCCACTAGAATCCTGCCTACTAGAGGACCGGTGATTTAAGGCAAAGGGCAAGGCTGCCTCCTCGGCTCCCCACCCCCAACTACCTAGCGGTCTTGTGATACTGAGAAAAAACCAGCCTTTTGCCCTTGCAATAAGAGAGGAAAACTGGTATGGCAAGAGGGTCCTACTTGACTTCACCTCTCAGGCCCCTCAAACCTTTTGCACTGGGGACTCCACAGGCACAGCCTTCTTTCCCCGCTGCTTTAGACGGCCTCGGGCATAGACCCGGAGTAGAAGGGCAGCAAAGACCACAGCCACCCCCAGACCCCCCACCACAGTGACAGTGTGGCCATAGAGGAGACAGGAGAGGAGGATGGCAAAGGCCTGGCGGAGGGTCATGATGATGGTGAAGATAGCAGCCCCAAACTGCCCAATAGTGTAGAAGATGAAGAGCTGGCCACACGCCGAGCAAATGGAGAGCAGCAGGGCATGTGCAGCAAATTCAGTGTGTCGCCCCATAAAGCGGGTCCCCTCCAGGAGGGCACCCTGCTCTAGCAGGGAGCCGACTGTGAAGAGGCAGGAGAACAAGTTGACTCCAAACATCATCTGCACTGATGACATCTTATAGGCAAACAAGGCATCCTGCCAGTTTGAGGTAAAGCTGTCAAAGGCAATGTAGCCTGCCAAAAGGATGAGGCCTGAGAGGGTGGTGGCTGGGGAGCTGCGGGGCTCTGGTCCGCTGGACAGCAGAAACATGCTGACCCCCACGGAGATGAGGCCGGCTGTCAGATATTCCCAGTGTTCATAGCTGCGCCGAGACACCAACTTTCCCATCAGCATGACAGGGATCACCTTAGAGGCCTTGGCCAGCACTTGGGTGGGGAAGCTGACGAACTTGAGAGCTTCATATTGGCACCAGCTGCTAAGCACATTGGACAAGCTGGCAAAGGAGTACCGGTACATGGGTGCCCCATGCCGGGGCTGCTTGCAGAGGATGCAGGAGAGGCCAGCCACGATCAGTGCCAGCACTCGGTTCATTAGCACCAGGAACTGTGAGTCCGTGAAGCGCTCACCTGGTGAGGTGGCTGTGGCCCCATAGCTTCGGGTCATCACTCTTTCCTGCAGAACTCCCCAAGTCAGATAAGATGCCTGGTGGGGGAGGATGGAGACAGAAGAGGACATAAGCAAGAGAAGGAAAAAGTGGGCAAAAAGGGCTATCTCAACACTCTTCCCCTGGATGATGTCAAAATGACTGAAAGGACAGCACACGTTTTGGTTCCTCTGTAGTAACTAGAAGTTTCCTCTCTCCTCCAAGCCTCGATTCACCTTGTAGGAAATCAAGTGTGTGTGAAACATTTATAATGACAAATGCTTTAGAACCGCCCAGACCCCGTCTATCCCCACAGTAGGTTATGTTAGAGCTGACCCCATCCCAAGCATTTTCCTATCTATTCTCAAGCAATTCTGGGAAGCAAGTATTCTTAGAATCAGACACCTGTTAGTTAAATACGGAATACAAGGTGGAACTAGCAGTGCCAACTCCACAATGCCACAAGGCCAGCATCTTTGGCACCGCTCACATAAGGGCTGAATGGCTTCCCCAAACTTTTGTCAGTGGGTTTACAGTATATGAGACTCATCATTGCAAGGGAAGTGTAATGATAGGACAGTAGAAACCATATAAAAGAGGGTAAGAGGAGGAAAGAAAAGACTGTTTCCTCCAACCACCTCTAAGAAGATGGCAATATAGTGTGCCCCTGGGAGAGGGGGACACATAACGCACCAACCAGCAAACTGTTGGGACTGGGACAGTGAAAACTTTGGTTCCACAGAGTCCCAGGCCACCAGAACCCATCCCAGGAAGACAAGCAGAGCCTGCCTACCCACCTGAAGCCCCGCGGCACAGAAGAGCAGCTTCAGGGCCTGCCAAGTGGGAGTGGTCTCTGCTGGCTCTGTCCGGGGAGCCAGAGGAACCTCGTCGGAGGCCTTGGGCTCACTGCCAAACACGCAAGTCTTCACCAGGGGGAAGCAGAGACCCCTGCCTGAAGAAGGCACACAAAGTCAAGCCCCAGTCTTCTCCATAGCACCTCATCTTCCCCAGAGCACCTAGCCTGCCCTGCTGGCAGGCCTCCTGGCCTGCCTCCCTCTCTTTCCAAGCCACTTCCCGTTTGGACGCTTGGTCAGCACTGTGATAGGAACTTAGCACACTTCCCCACACACCTGTCTCCAGGTAGTTCTTCCGCCTGAAGTACTGCACCAGCAGGTAGCCAGGTACCATAAAGCTGGCATAGCCAGCAGCATTCACCAAGAACCGGAAGAACCACAGCTGGGTCCATGACTCCGGAGAGGCTTCGGGGGTCTCCCCACCTGCCCCCAGGGAGGGGAGCGCAGCCAGCAGCACCACTGCCCACCACCTGCGGGGACGGCAGGCATAAGGATTAGGGTGCAGTCCTTCATCCGCTCGGCCCTCCAGAAGGGACCACACTGGAGAAGGGCCCAAGTCTCCTCCCCGCCCCCCTCAGCTGCAGCCCAGCCCGGACAAAGAGCCTCTCTCTCTCCCGGGGGGGCCGGCGCGGGCCAGGCAGGGCTCCCTCCCTCCCGGGGGCGGCCCCGCCCCTCGGGCCACACAGGTTCCCTCTGTTCCCTCCAGCGCCCGCCGGCTGCTCGGGCCACAGGCGGCGCCCCCTCCCCCCACCCCGCCCTCCAGGTCCCTGGGGCGCCAGCGTTCCCCACTCCTCCGCCCCACACGTCCGAAGCCCCCAAGGGGCACAAGCCCGTGCCGCGCCCCCAGCCCGCCGGCTCCGGGCAGCGCTCTGCAGGCCTGCCGCCCGGCAGCTCGGACCCCACCCGGCCCCCAGTGCCGAGGAGCGGCGGTCACGTGGCTCGGGGGCTCGGTCACGTGGGCTCGCCGCTCCCCCAGCCTCCCACCTGGCGTCCATGGTCCGGGCCGCGTGGGGCGGAGGGGGGCCGGGGACTGCAGCTCCCGGGCCTCGCGCTCCCTCCGCTCCCGCTGCCGCCACCAGGAGCGGCCGGTGAGCGAGCGGCTGGCGGAAGTGCCGCGCTCTTCCCGCCTCCCTCCCCGCGGCCGCCCCTCCGCTCCCAGCCGCGACCACGCAGCGCCCCGGGCCGCCGCCCGGCCACAGCGCCCCCGCGCGGCCCGGAGGGAGAGGCGGCTCGGTTCCCGGGAGCGGGGCTGCCCCTGGGGAGTGGGGCGGGGAGCGGGGAGCCCCCAGCCCCGGCCTCCCCCTGCTTCGTCATTCCCCTTAGCCCTCACAACCAGCCCAGGAGGTAGTGGTGACCACTGTCATCTTAGGGAAGGGGACATTGAGGTTCTGCGTGCCAAGCCCTTCTCTTTGTTACTGTTTTCCCGTTTTCTGATGCCACCTTCCTTTTTTGGCTGGGCCAGCAGTTGTCCCCCCACTCACCATGACCTTCCAGGCTCTGCACGACCTGGCCCCCGTCCCCCTCGCCGACTCACCCACCCGCTGTAGAGCCCCACTGGCCTGCTCTCAGTTCCTCTAATTCACCAGAGGCTTTTCCCCCACAGCTCTCCCCTCATCCCTTACTCATCCTTATGTCTGACTTGAGATGACGCTCCTCAGAGGCCTCCCCTGACCACCCAAAAGTATGGCCCTCCACCCACTCCACTGTTCTCCTTCCCACTATTCTTTTCCTTCACAGCATCCAATGCAACTTGTAATTACATATTTATTTGGATGTTCGTGATTTTAATAGCTGTCTCACTCACTAGACTATAAGCTCCAAGTGGCCAGAGACTGGGTTGATTTATTCCCCCGTATTCATCATCCCAGCACAGGCCTGACCAAACAGGGCCCTCAAACATGGGTGGAACGAGAGGAAAAACATCAAAAGCCACAGCTCCCTTGTGTCACCCTCCATAGGCTAGCCCTTCTCTCCAGCTCCTCCAGATAGCAACCTCCAGGGCAGTGGTGAGGCCTCCCGCCTATGTTTTCTCATTTCTCTCTCTCTTCCTCCATCCCTCTGTGTTTCCACAGAAAGGGCAAGGGTCTGTGCTGGACAGAGAGGCTGCAGGACTGTTAGCCCCCCTGCCCCACCCAGTAAGGCCCTACTCTGCTCAAGGGACAATTTCCTTCTCTTGGTCTCCACCACAAGTTCACAGGGCAGGCCTGTCTAAAAATCCCCAATGCACACAGACATGCACTGGCGCAAAAGAGCTCTAGGGGGGAAAACTTTTCAAAAAGTCTATGCCATTTTAGTGTCATGTTATTGAAACTTCCCCTTCCCCAGAGGCTCAGTTCACGGCCGTCTGTGTGAAGTCTTTAAACAACAGTGTTAAGAGTCCTCAGCAGCAGTGAGGTGGAACCCCTCAGGGCCCTGCTTGCTCATATTTCAGTTTCTCTCCTCACTCAGGAGAGTCCATGTTTTCCTTCTGGTTGGCAGTTGCAGGCTAACCCAACGTGGGTGGAAACGACAGCCTCTGCCGTCTTCAAGAGAGGCAAACAGGCTCCGCCAAGTATCCCGGGGCTTTGGGAATCTTCTCAGAATCTCCATGCACCTGGGAAGCTCTTCCTTCCAGACGGGCTCTCTCCTCTCAGCTCAGGACTGTGCTGGCCCCAGGCTCTGGCCTCAGCAGTCCCCAGGACACCAGAAGGGCACATTGCCTGGGCCCAACCAAACTGCAGCAGCTGTGGCTCCAGCTTCCAGATGGGAAGAGGTGGAGCCCCCGGGCCCCAGACCCTGCCCTGGCTTCAGTCAGCACACAGCAGGGGCTTCCCTGAGATCTTCAGGTCATCGAAGGGCAAAAGAGCAAGGGGCTGAGAAAGAGAATGGAGAGAAGCAAGATCAGGGCCCACAGGAAAAGGCAGCAGTTGGGGAGGGAGCTGGGGAGATCTGTTGGGCCATTTCCTCCCCACCAAATGACAGTTGAAGGACATCAGGGAACAAATCTTCCCACTAATCCCCAAACTGGCCTCTCTGGGCTAGGCAGAGTCCTGAGGCCTTAGGCAAGCCCTCACTCTCTAAGATAATGCCGGATTATCAGAGCTAACAAGGACCTAGGAGGTGATCCAGCCCATGGGTCTGTTTTTTTTTGGCGGGGGGTACTCACAAAACATTTTGAATATTTTTTTACATTGAACATTTAAAAATGGAAAAGACTGTACAGAAAATCTAGGTTTCATCTCTTGTAAAAAATTGCAAGGCCTGGAAACACCGGGCCCACATTCCTCCTCTGCAACCATCTGCTGAAGCTGAGCAGAATGACCCTCGGGCATAGACCCTCCAGTCTCCCGCACGCCCCACCACCCGCTGTCTTATACCTAGCCTGCTTCACTGATCACCTGAGCTGCAGGGCTCCTGCACTAGTCCAAGTGTGGGCCCCTTGGTCCTGACCAACTAAGAAACAGGCTGAGAGAGGGGCAGAGGCTTGCCCAAGGTCCCACAGTTGGTGAGTGGCAGTCGTGGATTACACCCCGGGACCCTAACTCCTTGGTCCTTCCAGCTGTTACAGTGCCTTTCTCTGCTATGGGTGTGGGAGGCCCTGGAGAGCAGAGCTGAGGGTCTGCCTCTTACATCCTCAGCCAGGTCCTGTGGAGTCTCATCCTCCACGTTCCGCAGCAGGGAGTCAGCACCCGCCTCACACAGAGTGGATGAGATGCTGCTGAGGCCCCGGCCCGCCGCGAGGTGCAGGGGTGTGCACCCATTGAGCATGCGGGCGTCTACCCGGGCACCAGCCTGGAGAAGGAACTGCACCAGACCCCGCTCCTGGGTCTCCACGGCCAGATGCAGTGCTGTCTTCCCACTCGTGCCCTCCTGGAGGGGAAGAAGGATGTCAGCCAAGGCCCTCAAGAGGCAGCGTCCTGAGCCTGGCCCCAGATAAGGAGGTGAGTGCTACCACTTCTGACCGCCGTGCAGGGGGCCAGGGGCTGGACCCAGTGGTGGGGCAGGCCCTGGGCTGGGCAGTGCCCTGACTGGCCGCCTCACCTGTGCGTCAATGTCAGCTCCATTCTGAAGCAGCAGTTCCATGAGTGGCCGGTTCCTCTGAAGGGTGGCGATGTGGAGACAAGCCAGACCTGGGATGGGGTGAGGGTGGGGACTGCTCATCTGCAGCCCAGCCACCAACCCTCTCTCTCTCTTTGTCAGGGACCTCCCTACCCCTCAGCCCCAAGGGACCCACTGCCCACTCAATGCCTCTGATCACAGGACTGTTAAAACACAACTCAAAAACCCCCTCAAAAGTCTGAGGGAAAGGAACTCAGAGTTTCCACCTTTTCAGAATCATGTTATTGAAACTTGCACGCTTCAGGGGTCAGGTTGCTGAGTGACACCCCTCATACACACACCCTCCCCCAACACACACCCCCTCCCCCGACACATACACTCTCTCTCTCTCTCCTCTCTCTCTATCCCCCACACCCCCCCCAACTCTACCTGCCTTCAAGCCTCATCCAAAAGCCACCTTCTTCAGTGCTCTCTGGCTCCTCATGCCCCCAGCCCCTCCCCAGGGGCCACTTCCTCCCGCCAGCTCCCCTAGCCTTTTAGCTATCTCCTTTCTGCCTGGACCTCCCTTTGCTTAGAGAACTAGATCCAAATTTACATCCCTCCCCTCCTTCAAGTCTCTGCTCCAATGTCCCTGCTCCATGAGCTTCCCTGAGCACCCTATTTAAAAATCACAGTAACCCCCACCTCCCACATTCCACTTCTCGCTCTGCTCTGCCTCTCCTACAGCACTTACTGTCTTTAACCTATGAGAGAACCCACTTCTTGTATTTATTGTGTCTCAGTCGTTCTCTGTTTTGTTCACAGATGCAAGCCCAGCTCCTAGAAGATGTCTGGTACATAGAAGGCCCTCCGCACGTTTTTGTTGAATGAATTAATGAGTTCAACTAATCACTATAAAACTGAATATCTTGAGGGCAAGGTTAGCTCTCTCTTTAGCACACCTAGGTTCTCAGTAAATTCTAAAGCAGATTCATTCATTCAGCCAAGATGTACTGAGTACCTGTGTGCTTAGAAACAGAGGTGCGTCAATGGACAAGCTGTGACCCTCTCTTCCCTGAGGGTGGGATCTCTGTTTCCCATCCCCTCCTCATCCCAGGGCCCCTGAGGTTGCCTGCACCTTGCCAGTTTTGCAGCTGGAGGTCCAGGGAGTGGGCCGGTCCTCTGCCTGGCTCTGGCCGTCCCTCCAGCAGGCAGCGGGCACAGGCCAGATGCTGGCGCTGGCAGGCCACATGCAGGGCTGTGTCACCGTGCCGGTCCTGTAACACCCGGCTGGCCCCCTTCAGCACCAGGGCCCGAACTGCACCCGGCTGGTCCAGATGTACAGCCAGATGGAGTGCTGTCTGTAGGCACAAACAGAGGTCACAGGGCAGCATGCTCCCACCTCTGGGAACCTGCTAGGGTGGGCACAGGAATTGCCAGCTGCCAGTACCTTCTTTGAGGGCAGCTTATAAAGGCTAAGGCCCTGGTCTTCCAAGGAAAAATGACCATGCCCTTCTCCCTGTCACCCCTGACCAGCTCTTGGGGTCGCAACTCTGGAGGCAGGGGGAGGGAAGTGTCCCCCTGCTCTTCTTGTAGCCCCTGGAGAAAGGACAGATGGGGGGCCAGGTCTGGCCTCTCACCCTCTGGGGAGACCTCTGTTATCCCCAGGGGCTAGGATACAGGGAGGGCTTGGGGGAGGAGAGACAGAGGCACCAGGCAGTCTCCACCTGGCACACTCCTCTTTAAGCCTCCTTTCAGATGTCATCTGCTGTATTAAGCCTTCCCTGGCTGCTCCCCAAAGACACTGGATCCCACAGCAGCTGGTATGTGTCTCCATCACAACTCTTGTCACCACGCTGTAATTAGGTGTTGACACGAGTCCCTTAGCCCAGGCTGCGAACATCTTGTGGGCAAAGGCTGTGTCTTACTCGTGTCTGCATCGTCAGCTTCTAGCCCAGTGTCTGGCAAATAGTTTCCTGAGTGAGCAGCCTAAAGATGCCCGTTTGGCTGCTGGGATGGCTGCCAGGGCAGATATGGGTATCCGGGCACAGCCCACCCTCTCCACCCACCTGGTAAAGGTTGTTCTGAATGTCCAGGACCTCCTGGGGCAGCAAAGTCAGGCAAAAGAGCAGCACAGCTGGGGCCTCATGAATCACCGCCAGGTGGACCAGCCTGTAGGGCAGGGGCAGTTTAGTGTCAGGGCCCAGGCCAGAGAGAGTGGGCTGGGGTCCTGGGGTTAGAAGGAACACATCAACCTGTAAGCAGCCATCCGTAGGGTAGGTGCAGGAAGTGAGAGTTTGAGCCAGGAAGTGAGGGTTGGTGCGGGAAGCCAGGATCCTGGGGGTGGGAGCTCAAAAGCAGTTCCCATCTCTGGCCTTCAGGAGGGCCTTGGCTGAGTGGGAGTGTGGGCAGGGTGCTGATGGGACCAGCGCCTTCCTGTCCAGCCTACCCACACCCCGCTCCCCTCCAGCCCAGGGCCCTGCCAGGCAGCTGCAGCTCAAAGCCAAACCGAAAGCTGCCAGCGTAGTGCAGAGGTGGTTTCCAAGGCTGAGCGCCCCACCTCCCCCACCCCAACAGAGAGAACAGAGAGGGCAGGGGTGCGGTCACCCCCACCCCCAGCAACTCCATGTCACACAGTCCAGGGGAGAGAAAACAGAAGCTCTGGGAAGAGGAGCAAGGACAGTGCAGCATCCTGTCCTGCCACCCTCACAGGGAGTTAAGAGGGCCACTCTTCAGAAAGCACACACTGGGCGGGGCCTGACCAGAGGCCCTCTGCTCCTGTGTGCACCTCCAAGGGGACGTCTGTGCAGTGCAGAAAATGTGTGTTTGTGGGGGACAAAGAGCCTTAACCTAGGAGTGGGGGGAGGTGGGCAGCAGGGAGGGGAAGTTCCAGTCCTGGGGTTTCCCCACATCAGGTGGGGAAAACGAAAGCCCGAGCTGGAGGGTCTAGGCCGCAGGGACAGCTGCCTTGGGGCATTAGTGGGGGGGGGGGTGCTTAACTCAAAGGCCTGTCTGGGCTGGGGAGGGGGCTGCTCAGGAGGAGGGGGCAGGCTTGGCAGCAGGCGGCAGGAGAGGCCCAGGAGAGAGTGACGGAGGGAGGGAGGAACTGCTCTGGAAATCCCCTAGGCCAGGGCCTGCTCTCTGGGTCACATTCCTGCAGCCACCTCCCTCTTTCCCTCAGTCTCCCCTCCTCCCACTTCCTCTTCCCATTTCCATATGTCCCACCACCAGACACCTCTGAGGGAAGAAAGTGCCACCTCCTCTCAGGGGACCGGAGTCTTGACACCTCTCCCTCCACCTGCCACAGTCTAGACACAACACCTGTCTCTAACTAGAGTCGGGAAAGGCTGGGGCTGAGAGGCTAACAAAGGAGGGCAGTGGCAGAAGTCCCCACTCCCTGGGTCAAAGGTCAGCCATAGGTATTCTGCATGGAGCCCCCACAATCTTGTTCTGGGCCTGAAGGCTGGTGATCTGGACACAGAGTACAAAAAGGCCCGGGGTCACGCCTCTCCCACCACTGGGTCCAGAGGCTGTCTTTGTCAAAGGGCACCCAGGATCAGGATGTCATCTCCAAAAAGCAGGTCAGCACAGATACCTCCTGGCTCCTCTACATGCCTCCTCAGTCCAGCATCCCTGATCCGGGACTCCAGCCGCCTCCACTCTGTTTCTCACCCCCAAATCCCAGCCACCGTCAGGGTTTTCTTCCAGAGGAGCAAATCCTCAACTGGCCAGCCCTTCCCACACAAGTGCTTCTTACTTCAACTGCCTCCTAGCCCCATCCCCACCAAGTCCCACCTGGACCTGGGGGAGGAAGGATAAAGTGAGGGGGTCAGACATGACAGCGAGAGGGATTTGGGGGGCTCAGGAGGTGGAGAGTGTCGGTAAGGCTGACTCCAGCCTTCACTTCCCCTTTCTCAGCAGAGGAGGAAGTAAGCTGGGGCAGCCAGCCGCCTGTCTGTCTGCTGGGGCAAGAGTGCCCCGGCTTGGCTCACCCCCTCCTCCTCAGGGTCAGCCTCAGCTCTGCACCCTGGCAGCACCCCTACTCCTGGCTTCCTGGCCCCCACTGGCAACCTGCAACTGGCATCTCCTGTTCCTTGAGACAGAGCATTCTGAGGTCAGGGGCCGGGAATCTCAGATATTGAGCAAACAAGGATGCCCTCTCTCCCAGCAAGAAAAAAGACTGGACTGGTCAGGGGAATTTTCTCTTCCTAGTGGTGAGTTATTGCTGGGTATCCAAGATGCTAGCTGGGGTCCCAGGTGCCCGTAAGGACCCTGCCAAAAGAGGGGGCAGAGAGATGATGCCAGGTCCTCTGGTCGGGGCCTGGCGAGAGCTCAAAAACGGGCTGAGAGTCAAGTTTGGAATTTGGAAGAGAGACTGGGGACTGCCCCTTCCAGGGCGGGTGCCTTGAGGAATCCTCCTAGTGGGGGTGTCCGGCCTGTTGTGGCTCTGGGGAGGCCCGGAGTTGGAATTGGGAAGAAGAGGTGCTGTCTCAGCCTAGCCCCCATACTCACGTGTCTCCGTCCTCAGAGATGTAAGTGAGGGCTTCCAGCTGCTGAGGGTTCAGCGCCCCCGCAGGGGGGAGCGGCGAGCCTGGAGCTGGGTCCTCGGTCTCGGGGCTCCTCAACAAGGTCAGGGGCTCGGTGAGCGACGAGGAGCCATAGGTGGAGTCAGCCCGCTCCCCATCTGTGTCTTCCTTCTCCTGTGGCTCCTTGGCGGTTCGGGGAGGATGGGTCCAGGGCTGGGAGCCGCCGCCGTCGGAGGGCCCGGAGGCCGAGGCCGGGGCAGGGGCGGGCTCGGGCAGGGATCGCAGAGAGCGCAGAGACTCGATGCCCGAGTCATACTGGCTCTCATCCGTCTCGTCCGGCCCCTTCCTCGCCTCCGACATGCCCGCGGGGGCCGGGTCCGAGCAGAATCCGGCTCCGGGCTCCGCCGGCCGCCTTTCCGGGTTGCAAGGCTGCCGCGTAGAGCCGGCGCCCGGCCTGGAGCGGCCTCCTTCCCAGGTTGCGGGGCCCGCAGGGGTCAGTGAGAAGCGCCGACGGGGCTCGGGGCACCGGCGAGGTCCACCGCAGCGGCTACTCGGGCAGCCGGGCAACCCGCTCGGACGCGCGCGCTCGCCCCGCCCCAGGCCCCGCCCCCGACGGGCGCTTCCGGGCCGAGGCCCCGCCCTTCGGAATCCCCCTGACCCCGCCCTCTGCGTTGGCTCCCAGTCAGGGGTTACCCGGTCTGACTCACTCGAGCGTTAACTCACCCAGTCATTCATTCATCCAACTATTCACTCATTTACTCTTTTCCCCTTCCTTCTTCATTCTATTCATTAATTCCATGCATTCTTTCTTTCCACTTCCTCCATTTCTTCATTCATTCTTTTCCATTCATTCATTTATTTATTCGTTTCCTTTTAAAGGAATATTTATTAATCGTCTGCACAAGCTGGGCGTCTTGTGGGGAGGGCACGTGGGTGATGGGATGGGGACGCATTGCTTCCTATCCCTGGCCCATTTGTCTCAACTTCTTTTGCTTTCTCATCTACCAGTGCCCCGGAGTTCGGGTAGGGAAAGGGGACACTGCTTGTCTTTAAAGGAGCAGTTCTCTGTTCGGGTCCTCGATAGAGGGTCTCCTGTGTCAACTTCCCGGATCACACAGAATGGGACATGAGGATGTGTTTTGTGTGTGTGTGTGTGTGAGGAAGATTGGCTCTGAGCTAACATCTGTTGCCAATCCTCCTCTTTTTTTTGCTGAGGAAGATCAGTCCTGAGCTAACATCTGTGCCCATCTTCCTCTATTTTATATGTAGGACACCGCCACACATGGCTTGATGAGTGGTGCATAGGTCCGTGCCCAGGGTTCCAACCTGCAAACTCCTGGCCACCGAAGTGGAGCGCGCAAACCTAACCACACCACTGGGCCAGCCCCGAGGATGTGTTTTTTGAAAGTGGGTTTTCTCAAGCAGACTGTTGTCTAAAAAAAGCAGAATGGTCATGTTTTTTGTTGTCTAAAGCAGCAGAACGGTCATTCCTGACAGGGGTGAAACACTGGTGTCAGGTGGTTACAACATCTGGTTACCCCCAGTGGTCAGAAAAGTCTAGTTTCTCATGGTGGGGCCAGGATGGGGAGGCCCCAGACATGCTGGGCTGCGCTCTGCTGAGGTCCCCTCCACAGCCCCAGCCCCAATGCCAGCGCATCTTTCCTCTTTCCCCGGGCCTAGGGAGGCCATAGGGAAACCCCACTCACATAGTGAGCCCCCAACCAGCACCCCATGATTTATTCCCTACCCCAAGTGCTATCGACCTAGGGCCAGCAATATCCTTAGAAGGTCATCCCCAAGGGAATATCTCCCCTTTCTATCTCTGGCATTTGGGGGAGGAAGCTGGGATGAGCGTAGTTGGCCACTAACCAGCTTCCCTACTGCCCTCCCCCATGCAATCTTGTTTAGTCATCCATCACCCATCCATCTATTCACCCATTTGACAAACATGTATGAAGCTTCTCCTGTATGTCTGACATTGTTCTCTCTGCTGGAAGCAAAACTGAATATCACGGTAAGGGTAATAACCAACAACCACACCCCCCAACCACCAGAAAATGTCCCATGGTTCTAGCCTTCAAAAAGCCCCCTGGCAATTACGATACAGAATGATTGTGCTGAGACAGGAGTGAGAACAGGGTGCTGTGGGGGCACACAGTGGGGCCAACAACCCAGTAGGCAGGGAAGTTTCCATTTGAACTGGAAATGGGAAGGGAAAAAGGCTGGGGAGAAGAGAAGTACCTAGTCTCTGGAGGGGGCATGAGTGGAGAGAGAAGAGAGTGGGGAGGGCAGACGGGAAGAGATGACCCACTGTTCTCCTTCCCCATAGATGATCAGAGTGGGGAGGATGTGTTAAGCATGAGGCAGTGAGGAACCAGGAGGGGAAAGCCCAAGGAAATTGAGGCATCTCCTTCCCTTGGGTCAGTGTGATTTCAGATGTTCTCAACTTCCTCCCCTGACGTGTTCCTCTCCCCTCTTCAAAGGCTGGAGCAAAAAGTACAGTCATAAACTGCAGACACAGACCACTTGGGTTCAAAACCTGGCACTATCACCCCGTCTTAAAGTTGGGAAGCTGAGGCCCAGGGAGGTGAGTTGACTTGCCCAAGGTCAAACAGTCAGAAAGTGCAGAGCTGGGTTCTCCTGTCCCTAATCCAGAACTTTAAAAATGTTTTCAGTGAAACTTTTTTTCCTTTATGAAAGTCTAAGGAATTGGGACTTCTGAGTCCTCTGCAAGAACACAGGAACGCAGGAGGGTGCAGTGACTGCTCTTCTCATTCATACAGAAGCTGAATTTAAGGAAAAACCTAGCCCAATCCAGTGTGGTGTCTGGCTTTGAACCAGAACAGGTGTGTGGCAGCCCCTTTTCTGGCCACGTGGGGTCAGCATTGAGTCACCCACTGCTGCCACCTAGCCTGCACTGTGACAGGAAGCCCTTCTGGGGACACTTCAGGAATGGGGAGAGGGACTGTGGCAGTGTCATCTGGAAAGATGACCTGGAGACTTTGACTCAGGTCACAGGAAGGTCAGGGTCCTGACCTTGCTTCCTCAGCCCCAGTCTTCTCTGAGGCTGGGCTCCTCTGCTGTTGTTTTCTGATTTCCTTTGTGGTGCCCCCCTACCCCCACCCCAGCGAGGCTCATCTTCAGGAAACAGGTCTGGTTGCCATGATGACCAGCTGGTAAGCTGGATCCTTCCACAGCATCCTCCCTTCACCCCTCTCTTCCCTGGGCTTCCAAGGACGGGTCATGTGTGTGAGTGGAGAAGGGGGGTGGTGGTCTTTTATCTCTTGGGCGCTCTGGGGTTGCCCAAAAGACGTTGGGCTATCTCTCTTCCAAAGCCCCCTGAGGTGGAGATGGGAAAGCAGTGGGGGTGGCGGGCAGCAAGAAGATAACTAAATGGGGCGTGTGAGGATCCTATCTGGGTTAGGAAAGGCCAGGGTTAGGACCTCTGCTCTCTGTCTGCAGTGAACTAGGTGGAATGAGCTGAAACCAGAAGAGGGGTTGGAGTTAGCTGTGAGGCAGGACTTCCTAAAAAGCATGGGTGGGAGACATTGGAATGAGCCACCAGGTGAGATTCCTCCTGTGCCATGGGAGTGAAGGAGAACCCCAGTCTCTTCAGAACCAGACCCTTCCTCTGTTTGGGCAGGGAGGATGGATTCACTGATCTGGGGAGGAGCATGCAGGCTGTATAGTTCTGAAGCACTAGGCTGACAGAGAGCCACCCTCACCTCAACCGGAAAGGGAAGAGTAGGAAAATGGAGGCAGAACCAGGAGCGGGGTGTGTGTGTGGGGGGGCTGGAGGCAGTGGCTCTTCTGCCCCAGATGAGGACAGGACCATTCCAGCAGATCAGTGTGCCCGTCCCCTATCCACAAAGATCAGATATCCAGGCTTTGCTTCAAGCTAACTTCCTACTCCCAAATATCCCCATGGACCTTTTAATGGGAAAGATCTGGATTCTAGGACTAGCTCTGTGAGTCCTAGCAGGTGACCTTGCATAAGTCACTCACCCTCCCTCTGCCTCAGTTCCTTGTGGGTAAATGGGGACACAGTGACTATATGTCAAAGACTTTAATGTAGCATATGACACACAGTAGGGGCCCATAGTGACTGTGCACACACCCAGACACACACACACGCATCGCCTTTATCCTCCTCTATCATAATGATTGCTTTCCATGTCCCCAGTCCCCATTAGACTTTATGCTCCTTAAGGGTAGGAAATTGTGTGTTTCATTTCTGAACAGGGCACACAGTAGGTACCTAATACCTGTTTATTGAATGGATGCATTCAGGAATGAATGAGTGAATGAATGAATGTCAGTTTCCTTTCTGCTATCCTAGGAGGTGCAGGGAAAAGCAGTGTGGGGGGAAGTCACAAAGGGGTAGGCTACCTGCATTCACTCAGCCTCACCTGTGGTCTGTGACTTTGCCTCCTACACTCACAGAAGAAGGTCAGAGCCTTAGAGATTGTCCAGTCAACTTCCTCACTGCATAGATGAGGAAACTAAGGCTCAGAGAGGGGAAAGCACCTGCCCACGGTCACACGACTCATTAATGGCAGAGCCAGGGTTAAGAATTAGAACTCAGGTTTCCTGACCTCCAGCCTGGGGCAATGTACACACGTCATTGCTTCTCTGGGGCTCTTCTCCTAGGGAGGCAAGATGGCTCAGTGAAGGCTGGTTCCACTGTCCTCCCCTCTGCCCTCTGTTAGTCCTTTCTCACATCTAGCTCCAATCCTTTCCCCTTCACCCTATTCCATCCCTGTCCGGCTGGGTCTGGCCTCTGAAGTCTGGCTCCTGCCTTAACCCTTTACCACCCAACTGGGAATAAGGATTTTCCCTGGCATTTCAAGACTCAATTTCCTCTCCCCACCCTCAGCCCCAGGAACTTGCCGGAACCAAGGATGGGGAAGGATGTTGGTTGAACCTCTGGCGCCCCCTCCACGGAGAATAGATGGACAGGAGTTGCGGTATAGATCTTCCTTAGGATGGTGGGGTGGGGGTGCAGTGAGCACGGCTGGAAGTGGGGAAGGGGTGCGCAGAGCCCCTGTTGCTCTCCCCTTTGGAGGGTGGTTATTAGGTAGGCTTGGGGAAGGCGGAGTTTGGGGGGCCGGAGGCGGGGCTCCTGCGCTGGGAAGAAGAGGGGGGGCGCGCTGGCTCCAGCTCGGCTCAGACAAAAGGCGGCGGCGGGAGCGGGCGGGAGGCGGAGCGGCGCCGCGAGGGCCTCAAGGTGACACCCGGCCCCGGCCCCGGCCCCCC